TTTTTTTCTAGCTACCCCAACTTAATTTTCATAGTTCTCATACCTTATTTTTTTCCAGTTGCCCAACTAATTTTTTTATAGTTCTCGTATCTTAATTTTTATAGTTATCCCAACATATTTTATATATTTGACCCACTAGATTTTTTCAAGTCACGCCAACTGTTCCCCCTACTTATTTTTTCGAGTTACTGCAAATTAATCTTTCTGGTTTGAACAAATACATTTTTCTAATTTTTGTAATCTGATTTGTCTAGTTTACAACTTAATTATTTGTTGTCACAACTTTATTGTTTTAGTTAGCGCAACATTTTTTTTAGCGCTTATAACCTTTTTTTAGTTAAAGCAACCTTATTTTTCTAGTTACCACAACTTATTTTTTGCTAGTTTTTTTTTTAAAGATTGTGAAGTGCAGAGCCATTGTTCATTATTTGTTCTTGGTAACTAACACATTACTATTTTTGTATGTTCACATAAACAAAGATGTAGTGTTGCTGAATAAAATTGTTCATTATTATGTCATGTTATCTTATCTACTTTAATTTATTTTCAATTAAAGTATGTGGAAATAAACATTAACTAATTAAGCTGTAAATTTAAAGAGATACATTACAATATGAGTAAGTTATCATTAATAAAGATTATGTAATGCTGAAAAAAGTCACTGTTTATCATTAGTTCATGTTAACTAATCTATTAACAACAAATTAATATATGTAAAGATTAAGGGATGCTTAACAGATGTGTTATTCATCAATAAATCATGTCAACTAATGTATTAACTAACAGCCCTTTTTAAAATGTTACCCTCATATGTTTGGCAGATTAGATATTTGCATTAGGAAGCAGTTGAACAGTACCTAATAAAGTTGTCTATTAGTGTATAACAAAACCTACAAACTAACATCCCTAGATATTGTTTAAATTAGGTTTGGCCAGATTAAGCTCAACTCCGGGGGAAAAATTTCGACCCTATTTTGCTCCATATATATGCTCTCAGTCAATAATTTAGTCAATGTTTTTCTGTTCCACAGCATGGAGGAATGTGAAGCTCTCTGTACACGATTGGCCATCATGGTGAATGGAACTTTCAAGTGTCTTGGCACCATTCAACACCTCAAATACAAGTAAGATCCCAAACTACCGTATTTCATTTTTTATTACTACAGTAGGTGCAGTTTTGTTACACATTTTATCCACAATCATTATTTTGGATTGCTGTTCTCTGTATGTCTTTTAAAATCCGTTCCCTGCAGATTTGGTGATGGTTATGTGGTGACCATGAAAATCAGGGCTGCCAAAGTAGGTGCAGTACCAGATTTGAACCCAGCCGAAGCGTTCATGGAGAGCACATTTCCTGGCTGCATTCAGAGGGAGAAACACTATAATACTCTACAGTACGAGATTGCTTCTTCATCCCTGGCCAAAATCTTTCAGGTCGTTTTGGCCAACAAGGAAATGCTAAATATCGAAGATTACTCTGTTTCCCAGACAACTTTGGACCAGGTATTTTATACGACACAGATGGCTTAGATCAATGTGTGCCATTTAGATTTTACCTAAGGCATCATTTACTCTCTCTGGATTTGTTCTGATATAGTGTGCCCTTACCTCTATTTGAGGATCAGGCAGCATTTAAAAAGTATCACAAAAGTCAATAGCCTAGTGGTTAGTGTGTCGACATATATAGGTGCTCATGGTGAACCAAGTTCGATTCTTGGCTTGAGGTGCTTTGCTGGTGCTTCCTTTCTTTCTGCTTCACTGTCTCCACTATATTTTCCTATAAATATACATATATTTACAAATATAAATACAAATTTATTAGTCTTCCTGTGATTTTTTTTCCTTTTTCAAATATTTTGTAATAGAGCAAGGAAAAAATAAAAAAACCTGAAAAATCTCATGTACAGAAGTATTTACAGCCTTTGCTTAATACTTTGCTGATGCAGTTTTGGCAGCAATTACAGTACCAAGTCTTTTTGAATATGATGCCACAAGCTTGACACACCTGTCTTTGGGAATTTTTGCCCATTTCTCTTTGCAGTATAGCTCTATCAGGTTGGATGGGAAGTGAAAGTGTATAGCCATTTTCATATCTCTACAGAGGTGTTCGATAGGATTTAGGTCTGGCCTCTGGCTGGGCCACTCAAGGACATTCACTGAGTTTTTGTGAAGCTGCTCTATTGATATTTTGGTGGTGTGCTTTGGGTCGTTGTCCTGCTGGAAGATGACCCCTTGCCCCAGTCTTAGTTCAAGAGCATTCTGAAGCAGGTTTTCATTCAGGATGTATCTGTACATTGCTGCATTCATCTTTCCCTCTATTCTGACTAGTCTTCCAGTTCTTGTTGCTAAAACATCCCCACAGCATGATGCTGCCACCACCATGCTCCACTGTAGGGATGGTATTAGCCTGGTGATGAGCGATGCCTGGTTTTCTTCAAACATAACTCCTGGCGTTTACTCCAGAGTTCAATTTTAGTCTCATCAGACCAGATAATTTTTTTCAGTTGCGTTTTGGGAATTCCAGGCGGACTGCTATGTGCCCTTTACTAAGTAGTGGTTTCCATCTAGCCACGCTACCATACAGGCTTGATTGGTGCATTGCTGCACAGATGGTTGTCCTTCTGTAATGTTCTCCTCTCTCCACAGAAGAACGCTGGAGCTCAGACATAGTGTCCATCAGGTTATTGAGCACCTCCTTGACCCTTCTCCCAGACCGCTCAGCTTAGAGGTCATTGTGCTCATTGGAACTTTCAGAGCAGCAGACATTTTTCTGTAACTTTCCTCAGCCTTGTGCCTCGAGACAATCCTGTCTCGGAGGTCTACAGACAATTCCTTTGTCTTCATGCTTGGTTTGTGTTTTTGACATGCACTGTCAACCCTGGGACCTTATATAGACAGGTCTTTTCAAATCATGTTCAATCAACTGAATTTACCACAGGTGAACTCCAATTAAGCTGCAGAAACATCTCAAGAAGGATTACTGGAAATATAATGTACCTGAGCTCAATTTAGAGCTTCACAGCAAAGGCTGTCAATACTTACTGCATGCTCATGTGATTTTTCAGAGAGATAAAAAAGATAAAAAGATAAAAAAGATACGATAAAAAGATAAGATAAAAAGATAAAAAGAACTAGAACAAGAATTAGTTTGTTGACTGTGGAGAATTCAATTCAATTTTTTCAATTCAGCTTTATTTGTATAGCGCTTTTACAATGTAGATTGTGCACATCTGCAGAGACAAATGGTAAAGGTCATGATGTTCATTAAATAATATATACTAATGTGTTTTTAAAAATACTATAGATATGTAATTAGTATAATTAGTTATTAGTATAAATTCATGGAATAATGGATGGGAATATATGGCATGTTCCCTGGGGTTATTTCTCTTTGTTTAAAAAAATACAATTTTGGTTGCTATTTACTGCCATTACACGGAAGAGCACAAGCAGTACTTCTTAAAACTTCTACTTTTCTGGTTTAAAAAATAAAGTAGGTCAAACAACACAGGGGTTGTTAAATAAAGCATTTTTTTAGGGGTGAACTCGCTTTAAGCTTGAACAATTTATAACTCCCTTTAAGTGGTCAAAAATGGTGCTGTCTATTACAGGTCTAGCAGTATTTTGATGGCGCTTCTCTCCTGAGAGAAAATGTCCTAAACTAGACCAGCACAGAATAGAATAGCCCAGTTCAGGGTCAGGAAACTGCCATGAGCATCCATCCATCTTTTGACCACCACCATTTGCTTCTATGCCTGCATTTGACAAATGCACTGGAACGAGGGCATTTTTGGCTCCTTATGTAGTCTCGCTCTCTTTCTTTCACTCCCTGTAGGTATTTGTGAATTTCGCCAAGCACCAATCCGGAGAAGATGATGCCGTTGTGTTGCACCCGAGGGCAGCCGGTGCCCGGCGGGACGTCAGAGTCTTTCCAGTGAAAACGAAAGCCTGAAAGCTTGAAGACGATCATTTGAGCAGGTCAATTGGAGTCATCTGACTGGGGCACACAAAAGAGTCATAAAAAAAGAGATGATTTTTTTGTTCTTTACAAAACTCTCTGTGTGAGACTTCTGATTGTTTACGAAGCAACAGCTTCGCGCGCCATATATGCTTGGCCTTTTCTTAAAAAAATAGAATGCAACTAATACCACAACAAAATACAGACAAAGATGGACTCTTTTATGAATAGTCTTATGAATTTTTGTAGCACTTTATTGTCAATACAACTTTTTTTTACAAAATATTTTGTTTTTAAAACAAATCAAATGGTGCAATAGATTATATTGCATAGGCTATTACTATTGAAAGTGCATATTGCATTATAACACATTGCAAGTTACAGCTTTGAAAATTCCTGAAAACTGTAACACACAAACAGAAGTTTAAATTGAAGTAATGTTGCGGCCCATTTACATGGGGCATTAGCGTCAACACTTATCATTCACTTTGAATGGGTGACATCAAGCATTGCCAGCGTTGCTCACTGCAGAAGTTCTTTATCTGGAGTTTTATTTAGTGGTCGGTAAACCAACTTTAGGTGCATTTTCCGCCAACTACTGAATTGGAGTATGGAGCTCAACTTGGTTAGACATCTTGAGGGATTAGTAAGGGGATACTACAGGGGTTTACTATTAAAGAGAGGGGAGAAAATTTTTATTAAATAAATGAAAATTATTATATCCTATCCATTAAATCTATTTCAATAAACTATCTAAAAGTCTCTTTATTTACCTTTTTATCTTGGCCCTCTAAAATATCTTTTAAGGAAAAATTTACTGTATTTAGCTCTCCTAGTCCTTCAAAAAATTATTTGCGTGGATTACTTATGTACATTCAATTAATATATGGGATACCGTTTTAGAGAGACCCCATCTTTCACAGTTGCTGCAAAAGTTGGGAATTTCTAAACTTTTCAAGAGCCAACGGAAACATCAGCCAATCAGATCGCTTTATGCAAATACCCCAACTCAGACAGTAGCTGATTGCTGACTGATTTCATTGGCTGATGCTGCTATGACGATCGCGTAAGCCCCAACTTCAGACACGCCCTCCGTCAAGCGTTGACGCTGAAGCCCCGTGTGAAGGCATGGTTATATGTTCAGTTTTCTAGTTTTTTTTACTAGAAATGTTTGCCATGGATTGGTAAGGAAATGGATTGTAGAAAGTAAATTTTTCTTTATCTTTTTTTTTTTTGTAAAAAGTCCCAAAATAATATTAAATCTGTGTAATTTGCAACTGTGCACCTTGTCAAGAATTAATGAAGTAACATTACAATTGTCAATATAGTCTAGATACATTCATTATGGTTAAACAACCAGATTTCACATTTTTATTTGTTCCAAGCAATCTGTATTTACATAAAAATTCCCTGATGTAATCACTCTATATGCTTTCTGGTTAATAGAGGTAGAATACTGTATGCTACATGTAAGTAGCAGATAAGTGTATTTAATCTACATATTTATAATCTTAAGTGGCATACCAGTGTAATCAATCAACTGTCACATCATCTTGCAACTGATGTTGTGATGAACGCTGGGATATTGCTAAAAAAAAGGATTTAGCTTTCATAATCCTTTCATAAATTAACTTCATTTACATGCAGCTGTTTGGATGCCATCCGTGCTCTCTAAGCCAAGATCATAAAATGTTGGATATTTATCATAGATATGTAAGAATCAGAGAATAAATGGCAGGATAGGCATGCGGAGGTTTGGATAGTTCTTAAACTCTCTGACGTAAATTTGATGTTTTCCTTTAGCCCAGATAGTCATTTGAATGAATCCAACAAATGTGAAGAGAGCAACTGAAAAAAGCAATACAAAAGAATCAACATCAATTCATATATAATAAAATATTAAAAGTCTAGCTCAGTGTATGTTAAATAAAGCTGACAGCTTTATGATAGGTGATGTTCACCTGGAACACACTGGGTCATAATGGACAGTCCCACCCAAGCACCCACCTAATGGAAAAAAAAAGTGAGAGTTCAAGTACTGTAAACTTTATTTGATTATAGCAATATGGTTACCTCATATGTGTAGTTGGGGCATGATACAAAGAAAAAGAGCCACGTGAAAGGGTTTTTGGATGGATGTGGGAACCTCCGACATTTTGAACCTTTTAACCAAAAACATTTGCATCATACATGAGTATCTTGAGCTTTATCTCTATAGATATTGAATATATTGCATTTACCTTCACATTTTAAACTGTTCAATGACCAGTGGATGGAGAAATTACCTGCCTCACACAACTGGAAAACAAACAATATACATCAAGTTTGTTTAATTACCTTTATTATTTAAAGGTTGTTAATCATTTGAGATTATAAAGCTCCTTTTTGCAAGCACATATAAGATTGTGTGAAGTATTATTGAATATGCTGTCACCAACCACTTTATCAGGTACACCTTTGGTAATACTTGACAAATATACCAATGTAGTTTATTTATTTATTTATTTTTATATTCAGTTTTCATGGTGGTACCAGATTTTTGGATGACCATACCTACAGTATATCTATTCTGGAGTGACAGCTTCGAAGGGATTAGTGCATGGGGTTGAGCCCCTCTGAAAAAAACATGCTGTTCGACATCAAACAGTGTCCCTGTGCAAAGGATCATGGAGGTCTGAAGTGTTGTACAACTTCTGAGGGGCCCGTCAAAGTCTCCAGATTTTAAATCTTTTGTTTGGAACAACACTTGAACATGGTGGCCATGAATGTTTTCACTCTAAAGTGCCCATCGGAGGGCAATATATGTTTGGAAAGCACCAATAGTGTTTAAAGTCATCATAAAATGGTGGTTTTGTGACATATATTTAATTGAAACGGTCCTAAAATGAAGATTGTGCATTATTTCGTTCTTTGATGACCGATTGGATAATTGAAAGATGGGTGTTGCTAACAAAAGTGAGGAAGATTGACGAATGGACGAAAGCAGGTCAGAGACAGCACACACACTGATAGCCCCACCCCAAAAGGACTGATAGCCCCGCCCCAAAGGTATTCAAAATGACCAAATGAAGTTAAGTAGTTTCAAGGGATGAGGGAAGGTGATATATTTGATTAAAGATTAAGAGCACAAATGAATCTTCACAAAATAATGAAGTGCACAAATACGCCAAGGGCATCCACTATGTAAAATATCATTCCGCTGTGGCGACCCCTGACAAATAGGGAAGTAAGCCGAAGGAAGGAAAGACAAATACATGTTTTTTTTAACAAGCACTACTATACACATAAAAATAAAAGAGTACATTTTGATTTCATGCTGACTTTAGTAAACAAACATTACTTACCACAAAGATAATGAGCGCATAATTGACCTGTATCTCTCCATATGCTGTGAAGCATAGCAATAAATGCAATACATTACATTTAATCGATTTCTAAAGTAGTTTGACTCTTCTGGTACTCACATGGAGGTGTGTAGAGGGGATGGTTGATGTAGTATGCTAACCAAGCTGCAAAACCCCAGTAATAAACACAATTCTGTGAAGCACAAATCATCAGAAAATTAAACACAATCAGAAATCACAATTCAGAAATGGCTCCGCAAATGTATAAACTGTATTAAACGCTTATTAATGTCTTCCAAAAGTAGACAAGCATGACAGACTTCACAACTTATTTTTTTAAATTAATATTGTTAGCAAACCAAACCAGTAACCAAATACTCACTTTTACAATGGCTCTGAGAGGCATTGTGCCATGAGAAAACCGATGTACAAATATTGTTTCAAATAGCCTCTTGATATAGTGGAACGAGTGACAAGCGCAAGCCAAACTAAAGAGATAAGGAATAGTGTGTCAATTATAGTGCTCTTCTTCATGTCATTCAAAATGCATATGACGGATTTCTTCAAAAGGTAATGCTTTCAAATAATGTACCTGACCACAGGATGGGTGCTGGAGGTAAAGGTGTATTTGTGGTTATAGATGTATGGGACACGAACGTAGAAGAGGAGGTATATCAGAAGAGGTCCTATGTACTCTGCCAGAAAAACCTGCAGAGGATTGACATTTTTAGTGATTGTATGTTCGATACAGTCAGAATTTTATTTAACAAATCCATTTTTACCATTGTCCATCCAAGTTGTGGACCAAGGTCTCTGAAATACATGGTCACTGAGGTCCCAGCAGGCAGATTCTGCAGGATGTCATCATCTCTGAGTGCTTTATTTTCTAAAACAAAGTAAGCACAGAAATTGATTCGTTACAGGCAGTGTTATGGTTTTAGGTAAGTGTAGGTTTTGAATTTCTGCAATCATGCAGAATACAACAGGTAGCACTTATTTTGCATTCTGAAAGCTGAGAAATTCGGCTCCACAAATAGTATAATCTGAGATCAATGTTTGTGTAACATTCTGTCTACTAAACTGCCTTCATCAGAATGGCATAGATTAATAATATTCCTCAATTTAGTGTGTGGCATTAGCAATTGGTGGAAACTGAGCAGATGAAAGATTTTTCTGATTCCGTATTTACTCACATATTTTCTTGGTTATCTCTAAGGAAACAGATTTAAGGAAATATATTGCAGCTGTACTAAAATTGCTGTTAAAGTAGCGATAAATATGACAGAATTCCACCCTCTTTGTGTAGCACAACGGTCTGGTTCTGGAAGAGAAAACGTTATTCATTTTCCCCATAAGAAAAAAATGTAACAATGGCATATTTAACAATAACTGTTAAACCTTTACAATCTTTGAAGGTATATGAAAGACTTTTAAAGGTCTGTTGACTGGAAACCATTTGTAATCCATCTGATTCCATTAATATATGTATATTTTTAATTGTTTAATGGGTAAATTTGTGCTAAAAAATTACAGATTCCAGTTAAAAGTTGCAGAGAGCAATTTCGGTCACAAGAGATATCTGGCAGCACAATGAATGCCCTTTGATAAAGTCTCGTTCATTCATTTTCCCTCAGCTTAGTCCCTTTATTCATCAGGGGATGCCACAGCGGAATGAACCACCAACTTATCCAGCTTATGTTTTACACAGCGAATGCTCTTCCAGCTGCAACGCAGTACTGGCAATCATACATACACACATAAATACACACTCATTCACACACATAAACTGGTCAATTTAGTTTATACAATTCACTTATACAGCACAACTGTGGGGGGAAACCCATGCGAACATGGGGAGAACTTGTAAAATACCCCACACAAATGCCAACTGACCCAGTCGGCACCCGAACCAGCGACCTTCTTGCTGTGAGGTGACAGTGCTAACCACTGAGCCACCATGTCTTTCATAAAGTCTTCCTATTCGAAATTTAAAATATGTTAATATTTAATTAATGGACTATTGTTTTTGTTGTTAATTATTCACTTCTGGTCAGGGTAGCAGACTATTTAAAGATTGGGGGGTTATCCTAAGGAATGTTAACAAACATACAGTATATTTATAAGGAGATAAAATTAGTTACTCATACTCACTGGGGTCGAGCCTCAGGGCTTGTCTTGCTGGATACCATTTTGGATCTGTCGGTAAGAAAGAAAAGTGATACAGTACATACTTGTATATAAAAAACAACAACATCTAGCTACACTGCAGAATAACAAAAGACTAAAGTATTACTATATTTTCTTCGCATAAATCACAATTTATTCTAAATAAAATTGTCTCCACCTGAACTAATAAAAACTACTAACCAAAAATTATGTATAGACACACAAAAGCAAGCCTAATAGTTATGATAAACAATAACAGATTATTAAAAGATTAATAACAATCCTGTTCGACATTAAAATTTAATAACAAGTCAACAATAATGTTAGTTATAATTATAATAAGCTTAACATAGGTCAATGGTCAAATACCCACAGCAACTATTTCCGGGAAACTGCAACCAATCAGGGACCGAATAGAGGACTAGTTTGATGTATTTCCAACCAATAGAAAGTGTAAACAGACACTAGCGGTTCTCTCATGTTTTTCTCGTGTGTTTAGCATACAGCCCGCGCACACCTCTTCATTCAAACGGTGACATCGTGTGACTCAGGTAATTCTTTTACTTAAAATGATTGTACTTGCAGTGTTCATCTTGTTGCTATGTCGGTTGTTTAGCAAAAGCCTTAACGATAATTTACAGACACAAAACACGTTTGAATTATAATCAGCATTTAATGTTCAGTCAGTTTATTCGGTCAGTTAATGTTTGTTCAGCTTGACAAATATAACGTTACAGTCATTAACGTTACAACAAAATCTGACCTAGCTAGACTTCATGACTGACCAGATAACATAACAATAACAGAAGCCAAGGTGAAGTAAAACCTACATGACTTATGAAACAAGCTCTTAATGTCACCAATGCTTGAATGGGGTTCAACCTGCAATAATAATAATAGAAAAATAAGTTTAGCTGAGCTCAGCAGTCATTGATTGTAGGCTATAAAAATCTGCTTACCTTGTCAAGAAAACAGAGCTGTTCTTTGGTTTTTGAGTCTAGAATTTCAACCTGGAAGATTAGAGTCATCATTTCAGCTGGATCAATTGCTGCATGGCACAGACACCACGAAGCCAACACACTTTTTTTTTTAATCCAATCAACACAAATCAAGTTAATTTAGTGAAGGTCTGGCTGGCCTCAGGGTAAAGCTGCTCATTGCATCTTCCCAGAATTCTCTTCTAAGATGTTTCACACAACTGACAACATAATATCTTTTTCCACATATCAGCCGTTAAAATGAATCTAAGGAGAGTTTAAGGAGTAATTTGCAAAATTCTCTTTGATGAAAGTTGATGAAAGATGTCTGTGAAGTGAAAATTTAAAGGGGTTTCATTCTGACAATTTTCCAAATGTATCGCAGAATCCGATTGTATTGTTTAGAGCTTCTGTTTTGACAGATCTGGCCCAGTTTAGTTCATTGTATTTGCTTCATCAATCATCTCAAAACAAACACTGGATCTCATTATTGATCCTTCCAGGCAGAGCTCTGGATTCTATGGATGCATCTTTTTTTGCAGTGCAGGGATCTTTTTAGTCTTAATTAAAAGGTGTCAGTGCTGATCTACAAGTACGCACTGAGCCTGCTGCAATTTGCGTTGAAAGCACTACATATTGTAGAGCTCAGCAGAGCTGTCACCATGAAACTGCTCTAATACTGGCTAGTGTAATAATCTTCTAATGGACACATGCGATTAGCCTAATGCTTAACTTAAAGGAAGAATCCCAATGGAGTGGTTACCATTACTTTGCAGATGGAGATGCCTGCGAGCATTATTTAAGCACACTAACTCTTGATGGTGCTTGTCTAAATTTAGCAGGAACCTTTCTAAACTCTTATGCTTCTTTTTGGCAGGTGTTTGTTTAAAAGACTGCTTGAGTCTCTCCTGTAAAGACATCTTGGTCATTTAAAGATTGAGCAGTTTAATTTTGTAAGTAATAAATTATATCATTTCTGTCCATCCATCCACACATCTATACATACCATACATTTTTGTATAATTTTTATTACACACACACACACACACACACACACACACACACACACACACACACACACACACACACACACACACACACACACACACACACACACACACACACACTTGTACAGCTGTCTATATAAAGACTTCCTACAGATGTAATGATTTTTATACTCTAAAAACTGTACACTGTAATCCCAGCCGGCATAGAACATCAACATGGTGTCAGATTGACATTGTACCTCAATATCGTGGGAACATTGCATTTTGGGTGGAAATGAAAATAGTGTTGAGGTCAGACAGTGTCTAACCTCGTTCCCAACCTAAAAACAACCAAATTTCAATGTGTATTGATGCTGCAGCTTGACCAGGGTGTCTGCATGGTCTTAAAAAGTATTAAAAGTTAATAAATCAATTTTTTTTATTTAAGGCCCTTAAAAAGTTTTTAAAAAATCTTAAATTCTATTTTACAAAGTATTCAATTTCATAAATTTTCAATTGTACAATGTATCGTTGTATGTAAGTTTGCCTGAATTTAATCTATGAATATTGGGGTGATATGCAGTTTATAAAAATCGGCAAAGTCCTGTTAGCTTTGACTTTAACCAAGGTAACACATTATTTCTAAAATTTATATTTAGTATATGAATAACGTTTTAATTTAAGATTAGTTTCTTACAATCAGTATTTAGTAAATATACTGAGTTAAAATGTCACCCATGTTACCAGTTGAAATCTAAAGTTATGAGGTCTTAAAATATATGGAAAGAGTCTTAAAAAGGTCTTACGAAGTATTAAATTTCACTCTCTGATTTTTGTATGTACCCTGTTGACATTGTGTGGACACTACCATTATGATATCTATCAGATGTTGGATTTTAGTTGCCAAACCTGACGAATAAATGTCAGTGTTTGACATCAATATGACGTTGGTTGGATGTTAGCTCGATGTAGAATTTTGGTCACTTTTCAACACAACCTAAAATCAACCCAATATCAACGTCATTTGACGTCGTTATTGGACATCAAAATGACATTGCCTTGGGCGCTGACTGGACACTGAATTTTGGTCACCTGACATCACAACCTAAATTTAACCTACAGTAATATTAAGTCTTATGATATTGTGTGCCTGCTGGGTATCCCCCTACTCTACCCCTAAACCCAACCCTAACAGAAAACAATCTGCATTTTTACATTTTCAAAATACTTCATTACATGTATGTGTGATATATGAGCTGTTTTCCTCAAATGGACCAAAATATTTCCTTAAAGTTTCAAGTTTTTGACAATTAAGTATCACAGTTTGCTTATACAATATATTAGGGCTGCATGGTATTGGAAAAATCTTATATTGTGATATTTTATTTTTCTGCGATAAATATTGCAATATGAATATCGTTTCAGTAGATGGTTTTCTGGGCAGTCTAACATTATTCAGGTGCAGAAATTGAATAATAACAATGCAAAACGCAGACATGGGGAGAACATGCAAACTCCGCACAGAAATACCAGATGGCCCAGGTAGGACCATGAGGAAGGAAATGAGGATATATATATATATATATATATATATATATATATATATATATATACACTTGGGATCCTTTGGTTGGAAGATCATATTAGCTTATGTGGGCCAGCCGGGTCTATCATGAGCACATGCTTTTCACTGTGAAATGTACATATTTGCAATATAAACAAAACAAATATTCTAAGAAAAAAATCCATATAAATTCTATGTAAGTACAGTGATGAAATACAACTTTGTAGATCCTGGTCAATTATAAGTTAGAGACTGGACATTGCATATCTTTGCGTTGTGACTATTGCGGATGAGCACTTTGTGATATCGATGCTGAAACGATTTGTGCAACCCTACATTCTATGAACATAAAATCACTATTATGAGTGTGTTGTTTTGATGCAGACACCAGACTGCCTTTGACCCATGTACATGTAGTTTGAAATTTTCTTTGAGCCCGTTTAGAAGTATGTGACTCTTTCTGTAATACACAAATTTAAAGACCATGCAGTAAAATTGTCCTGTTTTCAGTCAGACAGAGCAATCAATAAAGCACTCTGTGGATTTCTGAGTGCTATTGACAGGACGTCCTTAAACCCTTCCCCCAACTACTGTAAGTACAAGAGTAATTATGACGATTTTACCAGGTATGAAACAAGCCATATATGTGTATCCACTCTGAAAGCTTTCAGGCTTATATAACCTTTCATTCTTTGCTGACTTCATGCTGATGGAAACAGTTGAGCATTACATTTAAATGTTGAATTGTTTGAAGATTTGATTTTAAAGTTGTTTATTATATAGAGTGTGTGTTAATCAATAGCACTGTCTCTGGTGGTGTTACAGCCGGCAATGAAAACGCCTGAGAGGGCCATTAATCCACCAGATGACAGGCCTGTCGGTTATTTGCTGAATTATAGCGACTTGCTTATGTTCAGCATGCGTAAAACTAAAGCAAACCACTGTACAGCAAATTTGATCTAACACTACGACACCCGATTGTAAGAATTGGGGATTGTCATCAGAATTTTTTTTTAATAGTTGTTAATTAGCTTGGCATTCAGCATTATATTTACCTTTAATATTAATATTTAACATTTGCAGTCACTCATATCTATTGTTAAGTCATGGATTCAATAAACCAATTCAAAACTCAGTAGGAACTGCCTAGCAACTACCCACATTAAAAGTTTTATATTTAGTTTATTTAACTGTATAATATGTCGAAAAATAGTACCAGATTAAATCGCATTGTCAAATGTTAACAGAATTAACTCCAAAGTATATTTAAGTAAACCCACAAAGTAAATCATCTCCACTTTTTAGAAGCATTACTAGACTTTAGAACCAATTCATAGTTCTTGAGACTGCAGATTTTCCAGTTCAATGCTTTATTTAACTTGAAATTAAATTAACTTGATGTCTTACCTCAAAAAATATTGTTCTGCTCATTCCAGGGCCCTTGTTTAAATTAAAGGAAGGTTCTTCAGAGTTGGACAAGCAGCTTCGTCTTTCCTTGTGGCAATGGCAGTGTTAAATCTCCATTCCAACCCTCCTCCCTCCCTCGCTCTCCATCTCCCCTCCCACACTCGCCTCCTCCTTCTGCCTCTGCTTTTATTTTCTTCCCTTTAATCTCATGCCTTTTCTGTCTGAAGAGGACATGTGCTTCTGAAACCTGTCATGGTCTACGATCTTGTCCTTGATGTGATTGCAGGCCCCAGAATGTTTGTCTGACGTGAATGGAGGATTTCTGCTAAAGTTTGAGATGAATGAATAAATAAACAAATTAATCATGAAAGATAAAATCATTTTAATTAATAATAACAAGAATAGTAATCGATCCATTCATTGATTATATGTTCTAAGTACTAAGGTATACTTTTGGTCACACTTTATTTTGATGGCCCTTTTGTTACATAGCATCTACATGTCACCTAATTCTCATTAGATTATAATGGGGTTAGTGTTGGGGTTTAGGTAAGTGTAAGTTGACTTGTTCTTGCAAAGTTTCTTATAGTCAGTTAAATGTCTGTTGAAGGAGCAGTATCAATAGATATTAAGCAGACAGTCTAGTAATACTCATATGGACCATTAAAATAAAGTTTCCATACCTTTCATAAAATCCAAAGGAAAGATGAATCCGTTCACACAGATCCATGAAAAGTGCTGTATTATGCGAACTGGATCAGTAGCTAGTGATGTTAGTTTATAAATTATTCAAGTTCAGGGTTTTTATTAAGGTTAATTTAAGACTTTTTTTGAAGACTAAGTAATGAAAATGTGATGAATAATTAAAAGGGAGCATCATTAGTATGGTAATATGATCTCTAAATGTCAATTTTACGTAAACCAGGAGTGCTTTTTTATCAAGGGTATTATCCGTGGAGTTTTAGGTCAAGTGTGTGCTTTGCAGCTAATAATCTAGGTTTGTTTCTGTTATGAACTTTTGAAAAGCAATCAGTGGATTTTCTAAATTAATCATTGAAATCAATTAGGAATTCGAAACCATACGATATATAAATGCAGAAATAATAATAAAAAAAAATCTAATTTATGATTGACCACAAGTTCCAGTGGAGTCTTCTGCCAACACCCACTGAGAAATCATATTAAACTTGATTAAAAAGAGAGAGAGAGAAAGCAAATAAGTCAAAAGGATGAAATTGTATTACCACATGGACCACAGGCAGAGGAAGAGAAATAAAGATAGGTAGATGGATGGATGTGTTCTGTATCCTGGCTATTTTGGCAGCATTTACACGCAAAAAACTTTATACAAAAATGCACAAATTTGTCCAAAAATGCCACAATGGTGTGTTGAGAAACATTCAACTTGTAAAATATGAACATTTCCAAAAGGGTAAGAACTGACAAACTTTGTTGCATTTGTTATTATGGCTGTGCGATTAATCGAAATCAAATCGTAATTGCTATTCTAAACGTTGCAATTACATTAGCTAATCGCAAGAGGCAGCAATATGAAAAATATATGTATTATATAAATTCCCCCACCCAGAGCAAATGCATGACTGCCGTCTGTGTGTAACAGTCTTACTAGCTAAATGAGTGAGCACACTATTGTTTTGCCCAATCAGAATTGTATGACCGAACTATGCAGAAAGCCCACAATAAAATAAACCAGTAGTAAAGCGTGGACCAGTGGGATGATGGAGTCTGCCACTTCAGAAGCATTAATAGAAGAATTCATATCAAAGAAATACAGCATGACAGGGAATATTTTGGTTTCAAAATCACAGACACCAGGTAATTTGTGAGAGCTGTTGTAGAATTGTTGCCACAGCACGACAAAATACAACAACCAGCACCTAAAAAAGCACCACAGGCAAAAAGTCAACTAAAAGTATTGCCAGTGACACTCAATCTAGTAGCTAGCAATAGGAAAGTGCAATTTCAGAGTTGTTTGCAGCTGTTACACCATATGAAGAAACATCAGAAGGCCCCAGAAGATAACTAACGCCATCACTTACTAAAAGTAAGTAAAATTAGTGTGTAATTTTTAAAAAAATATTTCTAAACAAATTTAAATAGGTGTTGGAGTTAGTTAATGTCTTTTCATTTGCTTTTTTTAAACTAACACTTTTAGTTTGCATTTTTAAGAAGCTATGATACAGATAATTGAGCTGAAGCTTGACTACAAAATTAAATCGCAAATCAAATCGAAATCGCAATATCTGTCATAAAAAATTGCAATTAGATATTTTCCCCAAATTGCACAGCCTTATTTGTTTTCAATATTTGTTTATTTCCATGTTCGTTATGTTGCATTTCATCAGGTTTTTTCACGCGTTTCACATCTGAAGCATTTTTTGTCTTTGTTGTGAGGTGTGTCTGGTCACGTCAAGTGGTTTAGACATGGTGATTGAAGCTTGACTCTTTGTTCGTGTGCAGTGCAGAGGCAAAGGGCCTTGGTCTCAGCCCAGCAAACTTAGAGTGCAAAGCATGTATTCAGAAGCTGCCACCACTTCAGAGAGCTCGCATATCTGCTGTTCTGACCACGTTCAGTGTCCATGACAGCATATGTGCCATTGTAAAGAAACCAAAAGTTCAGCTGGCAATATATAGATATATAGATTGACAGATTGTATTAAGTTGAACTTTTTCTGAAAGATATAGATTTCTTATATAGAATCACTACAAAAAAAACCTTTGGAATCTTTATTTTTAATAGTGCAGACAGGGTGTCCTGTCATGATGGGCATTTCTATTTTTCATCTTTTTCCTGTCTGTAGTTTCTCAGCCACAAAGAAAAGCCCCCTTTCAGAATCCCTGAACCGGCTGCCACTGAGATGTGAAATTCAGTTGAAGAGACTCTCTGAATTGCCAAAGGCACTTAGGCCACTTCAGGGAAAGTGAACTGGAAGTCAGCTGACAGAGTGTTCCTATTCAGTGTTCAAGGGCGAAATGAGTCCACAAGTACAGCCCAGAGAGTGTTTATTAGATAAAAGGCTGTGCTACAACTGCGTAAGTGTCTCACTGACATGTGCTGTAAAATATGAACGTATTAGTGAATTTATGAGACAAACAGGAAAAGATCTTTTATCACTCTGGTCAACATCATGGAGTGCTTATTAAATCTGCCACGAGAGGGCGCTGTAATCTTGCTTAAATGCTGACATAAACGTGATTGGGGTAAGGGTATGTACAGTTGAAGTCAGAATTATTAGCCCCCCTGTTTATTTTTTTTCTCCAATTTCTGTTTAATGGAAGGAAGATTGTTTCAGCACTTTTCTAAGCATAATAGTTTAAAAAACTATTTTTTATCTTTGCCATGATGACAGTAAATAGCATTTTACTTGATATTTTACAAGGCACTTCTATACAGCTTAAAGTGACATTTAAAGGCTTATCTAGGTTAATAAGGTGAACTAGGCAGGTTAGGGTAATTAGGCAAGTTATTCTTTAACGATGGTTTGTTCTGTAGATTATCAAAAAAAAAAGCTTAAAGGGGCTAATAATTTTGTCCCAAAAATAGTTTAAAAAAAATTCAAAACTGCTTTTATTCTAGCCAAAATAAAACAAATAAGACTTTTTCTAGAAGAAAAAAATATTATCAGATATACTGTGTAAATTTCCTTGCTCTGTCAAACATCATTTGGGAAATATTTAAAAAAGAAAAAAAATCAAAAGAGGGCTAATAATTCTGACTTCAACTATATAGTCTACCCTGACCAACTTGGTGGATAAACTAAGATCTATAGAACTATAATCTAATATATGTAAATAAAAGCTAGCTATCATTTAATTTAATCTCCGCACCAGTTTCTGCATCTGATGTAAGGATAGTTTGTTCGTTTTACATTCATGCTAGATGGTGTAATTATGCCATCGTCAATGGGGGCCAGTTGAGTTGTGCTAATCAGCTAAACCCTGAACCCTTGGGTCCTTCCTCTGTGGAAGAACTCTGACGAAGGCTTTCTGAAAGTGTTTTGAGTGTATGATTACATGTCTTTGATTTAAGGTTTGTTCAATTAATCCATTATTTTGTTTTCATTATGATTTCAGCCCACAGCAGTCAGCAGTTCTATCCTTGAACCCACATGCCTACCTGGGCTGCATCTTAAATATGTTTTTTTTCTTCTCTCAGTTTTTGCTGCATATTATCAGATTTGCATTTCAAAGCACTGACACTCTTAGTTGCCAACTTAGCTAGGAATTAGTTTTGACTTTAGAATTGTAGATACTAAAATGGGGAAAAGGTCTCAGACACAGAAAAATAAAAATAGGAAAAATGCTGTATTATTCATGTTATACCAGAAGCTGGTGATGTTAACTTGTAAAGAAATTTTGTTTGCCTGTGTGCAGTCTTAGGCCAAATCCCAATTCTACACCTTAGCCCTTCTCCTTACTCCTCGCTTTGCACGTTCATCGTGAAGTGGTAAGGGTGTCCCAATTCTCATTAGCGTGAAGATGTAGGGGATAGATTAGATAGCCCTCGAAACAGATTTTTTTTGGACCACACTCGAAACCAAGTGATTTGAATATATATCAAAATACACCATCTACAGTGACAGCATGGCTCCGCATGGAAGTCAGGAGATGCACAAATTAGTATTTTTTTGTCATTATAATTTTTTTACAACAAACAAGCATAAATTTTAATAAATTCAATAGCGCGTTCATGTTTTACCGTCATGCTTTAAAAAAATGCTAAAATAAAAACCGCTGATACATACTAATACCTCCTGTGTAAAAGTCCCACAACAAAATTTCACATCTGACACTCGATGACACTTCTGGACCACACTCGAAAACAAGTGATATGAATATATATCAAAATACACCATCTACAGCGACAGCATGGCTCCGCATGGAAGTCAGGAGATGCACAAATTAGTATTTTTTGTCATTATAATTTTTTACAACAAACAAGCATAAATTTTAATAAATTCACAATCATGTTTTACCGTCATGCTTTAAAAGAATGCTAAAATAAAAACTGCTAAAACATACTAATACCTCCTGTATAAAAGTCCCACAACAAACTTTCACATCTGACACTCGATGACACTCGAATACACTGTAAAAAAAGTCTAGTGCCTGGGATGACCTTTTGACTTTTTCTGCTATGTTAATATTGTTTTTGTGTATTTACATATTAATATGGTCATGGTGTAAATGCACAATATAGTTACGAGCTTATTGCCACTTTATATTGTTATGATAACATGATATTATTGCCTTCAGATAAATTTCCTTGATTTCCTCAAGATAAATATAAAAAATGAACATAGATAAATACGCAACTGGAATAACTACAGCAGTCGCCATCGTCG